CCTTACTTTTTTTTTTTTTTTTTTGTACTGGGAGTCAAACTGAGGACACTTATGCTGCTGAGCTAAATACCCAGCCCACAACATAATTTTTTCTCTGTTACTTTTTCTTATTTTAAGAAGTATAGAAGGCCTGGTGGCACCTGTAACTATAGGACTCTGGGCACAGGCAAGGGGATTGCAATTTTTGAACCGAACCTAGGCAATTTATTAATGAGATCTATCTCAAAATAAAAACTATAATACCTCCAGTACCAGGAAGAAATAAAAATTCCTTATTATAAAATTGAGGTTTTTATTTTTACTAAAGAAATACTAAACAATCTGATATTCTTTTGTTTGCATGCTGGGGATGGAATCCAGGACCTCACAAGTCAGGCAAATGTGCTGCTGCTGAGCCACACCCCACCCCTGTTTTACTTTTGTAATGTACTGTAGAAATCCAAGTAATTAGAAAGATTCCTGAAAGGCTGTCTTACTGGATACAATTACTGTTGAACTTTTATAGTGCCAAGTATGTTTGAAATGTAAGGAAATAACAAACAGTTTCAGCATAATCCTTGGGTTCATATTTTGAAAATAGGAAATAAGTGTATACAAATTAATTTTAAAGGCATATAGCATCTGTTTCCTTCAGTATGCATTTACATGGTTGAATTATTTCCACAGCCAGAAAATGCCTGTAGGATAACATACAAGCAAGAACGATTTTGGTATGGAGTGACTTTGGCTACTGTGACCCTGTCAAGGCAGTGCCACAGGGAACAGAGTGTTCCAATAGAAATATAATGTGAGCCTTCCGTTCAATTTTGGGAGTGGGGAGGCTTTTAAAAAGGTCTCACTATGTAGCCTAGGCTAACTCAAACTCTTAATCCTCCTGCTGTGTTGGGATTGCAGGTATGTGCCACATTTAAAAATGCTTTTTAAAAGGGGAAATTTAACATTGATTGATTGATTGATTGACTGTAGTGCTAGAGTTTGAACCCAAGACCTCACATACACTAAGCATACTACCACTGAGTTTTGTCTAGTCCCATAAAATCAATGTTAATAATAGTTGTTCAAGTCATTATATCAAACATATTTTGTAGTCAATGTTTAAACAAGAAGTTTTTTTAGGTTGGCAGAGTTTCACTGTGTAGATCATGTTGGCTTTGAACTTACTATATTCCAGGCTGGCTTCAAATTTAGGGTTGTTATCCTCCTGCCTCAGTCTCCTGAGTCCTGGTAGTACAAATGTGGGCCACCATGCCTGGCCTCTAAAACACAAAAAGCTTTTTGAGACAGGGTGTTGCTATGTTGCCTACATGGATCTTCAACTTGTGAGCTCAAGTGATTTCCTGCCTCAGTTTGGCAGTCAAAGTTGTCAGCCATGGAACTCTCTAAATCAGGGGTTGTATTTTAGCTATTTTTAAGGTAAGAGGAATCTTAAATGTTACACTGAAATGATGAGAGTGACATTTTAAGTTTACACCAGAGCTTCATATATTCTGTATTATTTTCAGAAAGTAGTTTGCATTTGGAACCGGCTGTGGTCCTAAGTTGCTGTAATGAACCCTTATTAGTGGAATATAAAATATATCTAGGAGACCTTTATCAGCTTTTTTTTTTTAATCAGTACCAGGGATCAAACTCACGACAGCACGCTTGCAAGGCAGGCGCTTGTGCTGCTGAGCTAAATCCCCAGCCCCAGCATTTTTTAAATATATGAAATAATATTAAATGGGAAAGAGGACTGACACAACAGGGTACTACATGTGTTAAGTTTTAGGAAACCTTTGTTTTACTTTCATATGTGCATATATTTTGTGTGCACAGAATCTTGATAAAAAATGAATTAATTTCTTGCTTTCTTTCTTTTTGGTACCAGGGATTGAACTCATGACCTCACACTTTACCAGGCAAGCCCTTAAACCACTGAGCTAAATCCCTGGCCGAAGATGAATTTCTTAGGTCATAAAATCTTTTGAAAAGTACTCTTTCGGGCATGCTTTTGATTCTAGTACACAGAATCTTGTCTGTAGGTCTCTATGTGTAAAGGAGGATACAGCATTAATGAAAGAAAACTAGATTTACCCATGAGAGGTAGGTGTTATTAGAACAAAATCTAGTGAGTAAGGTGGTCACATAGATGTGAAATAGCTCTAATGATCGTAATAGAGTAACATAAACATGGTGACTTTCTCAATTCTGAATTTACTAGGAGCAGATAAATTTGAACTCGGGGTTAATAGTTTGGCCACTGCATCCCTCTAAATTTTGGTTTGACTATAAATCACCAACTTTAAATCTGTGTGTCAGCATTGAGTCTTACGAATTTTGATTTCTCTCAAAAATCTTAGTAGCACCCAATGTTTATAACTTCCATTAAAAATATGAAAAATGTTGAGCATGGTGGTACATGCCTATAATCCCAGCACTGAGGAGGCTGACACAGGAGGATTTCTGTGAGTCCAGCCTGAACTACATAGTGAGACACTTTCAAAAACAAACCAAAAAAAGAAGAAAAATGAAGTCACATTCTATGTAGGGTTGAGATCATGCTTTGGAAAGATTTTGATAGATTTATTTTTCTTAAATTATTTACTGCTTTCCTTGAATTTTGTGGGTTTTCATGTGTTGTATAAGCCTTGGTGGAATATGTTTGGTTGAAGTTCTTTATCTGTACAGAGTCAACATGACTGGTTTTACACAGTGTACATATTTGGAATGCTATTTTGCTAGAAGAGTCTGGAAACTTGGGCAGCACTGGCTATCATGCTTTTAAAAGGCAAAATGTGCTACAGTCAGTGTTGTAGCAGTGATTACATTTTCTTTTGTGCCACAGTTTCTTTTGTGAAAATTGCTCTAGATGTAAGGACTCTTACAGAAGAAATATACTACTTAGGACAGATACTTGAATACTGTCCCAACTGTATTAACAAATCTCATGTTCCGTGCATATTTGTAGCTAGTTACATAAGTTAACTGGGCTCTTCTCCTGTGATTTTCAATTGCTCAAGTACTTTTTATGCAATGAGATGCAGCCATATTAGAAGATCAAATTATTAAAATGCTATTAGTATAGCACCAGGAGTGTGGGGGTAGTTAATGAGGATGAAGAAGAAGCAAAAACACCATTCTATTTAACACTGCTTCCAAAAGCAGAAAGGTTCTACTAATTTGAAATCCCATTGGTTAAGTTAAGGTATTCAATTAAAAGATTAGGGAGGTAGACTGAAGCCAGATACTAGGCAGTCAGTCCCTTTCCCTCTCAGAGGAAGGAGCCAGGGTGCCAGTGGGAATCCAAGTGTCTGGCTTTGTCCTTTTTAGAAGAAAACAGTAGAAAATTGAATTCTGACCCCTTGATGCATCTAGCCAGGACTAAACATTGTGAGGAATAAAATGTATGACTGGGTTATAAGTGTTAAAATAGCTTAAATCTAATGCCATTTAAGCAAAAATAGGTAGTTCAGAGTAATATTTGGGAAGAACTGTATTGCTGATAGGTGCTGTAGAGGGGTACGTTATGTACTGATGACTCTTTAGAGTAAAGTCAGGAAAGGCAAATTGATAAGTGAAATTTGAGTCAGGCAATAGTGTACTGGTAGGTATCTTGCAAAATAAAGTACAACCAGAAGTCAAAATGATGGTGCATTCACACGTTGAGAATCAGTGTTAAGTAGTTTATGAAATTTCCCTTTCTAGCCAGCTATGGTGGTCTACACCTGCAATCCCAACTACTCAAGAGGCTGAATGAGGCAAGAAAATCACAAGTTCAAGGCCAATTTGTGTGACTTAGCAAGACCCTGTCTCAAAACAATATTAAAAAGATCTGGGGATGTAGCTCAGTGGTACGGTGCTTGTCTGGCATTGCTTGTCTCCATTGAGCCTAGCACCACAGAAAGTACTGTTTGAGAGTTAAACTAATCTTGTTCTCACAGAAGAATCAGAGTCTGAAATATCATTAGGCCCCAAGGAATGAATGCATATTTTACTTGAAATAACTACTTCTGTTAAATACCCTTCCCAATACCACTAACAAAAGTTCTCCACGCCAAGTAGTAAGCTGCATAAGAAATGGTCTAAGGTGTGGCTCCAGTACCTTGCAGAGGAAGAGAAGCTTGGTCTTCTGCTGTAGGGTGGATGCTTGGCCGAGGCATACCCAGCTGGAAAGTCAGTTTCTCTCTGTCTCTCTCTCCATTATTTGTAGAGCATAATGATCAAGAAGGTAATCTCAGGATCATAACTGGTCCAAACTGCGTTTCTAAACTTACCACCTGAATCACTTGATGCCAGGTGAGGCTTGGTTCCCTCATCAGTATAGTTGGACTGAAATTAATTATCTGGTAGGGTAGTTGTGAGAATTAAATAGAGGTATTAGTCTAAATAGTTTAATGTAGGGCCAGATTGTGCTTCAGACCCTCTAGTAGTACAGAAATACAAGCAGTTATGTAGTTTTTAAAAGTCTGACAATGTCCTTTGAGTAGATTGAGAATTTTCCAACTCTGCATTTAATAAATTAGAGTTTAGTAAGTAAAAGATAAAAAGAGATTATACTATACAGTACTGTGTTATATAAATATATACTACCTGACTTTTCCCTCACATGCTTTTCTATAGAGAATTTTTAAAATAATCTACTTCTGAATGTTTTCATTTACAAATATTCCTGCTGATTAGCCAAAGTATTTTTACAACTGACAAGTCAGCAGTTCCAACCTGATGCACATCAATATCACTTGGAGAACTTTAAAAACTGTGTCAGTGTGTATATAATCCCTAGAGATTCTTAATTAGTGAGTCTAGAATAGGATTTGGTAGTTCTAAGAAGCTGCCAGAATTGAGAACCCTTATACTGAAGCAAGGTGAAATTGAGGTGGGGCCGCCAGAGGACAAAGGTGAGTAGGAATGAATCTTATCCATCTTCTTCTCCTCTTCAGTGAAGTAACACAAGAGCAGCAATTAGAATCCCCAGAGATTAGAAAATGAAGTGGTTTATTTTTCCTTTTTTGTCATTGTAGACATGGAAGGACCTCAATGAAATTTTAAATGGTTCAACAAAGCATGCGCTAATGGATGACAGCGATCCTCCTACTTATAACCTGCAGATAGAATCACAAGATGGGTGTCATCCTGGTGACAGTGCAGAAAGGAGACTGACACATTTGCCTTCTGCATCAGATGAAAATGAAAATCAGCTTGACAGAGATGGGCTGGAGCTTCTGACTAGCAGTGGTAGTGCCATGGGGAAAACTGAGGTGTTGGAGCAAGACAGTCTCAACAATAATGAAACCTGCATGCCCAGCTGTGAGGTGACTGCAAGTGAGAGCTCGGAAAGTGCTCTGTCTAAAGACCCCAAAGATGGGCAGGACTTCTTGGGAAAGGACAAAAAAATACCTGGAAAAAGAAGTACAAGAAGCAAAAAGGGCACTGTTAAGAAGATACCACCAGGTACTTTAAAATATATATATATATTGCTTATAGTATTTTTTAATTAAAAATAAACCTCCTTCCCACCCCATTCTGTGTGCACTGTCTTGCATCTTGCTTTTCTTGTCACTGTGTTCTGAAGCTGGCACAACACATAGTAGCACACATGGATGAAGCCAAGTGGTCCTGCACGCATGTGATGTCTGCAGTGTTCCTTTGTGTAGGTGTGCTGGAACTTAACTACTTCCGCATGGCTCTTCCTGGTCATTTACTGTAATAAGCAGGTCAGAAACAGACATTCTTAGTTACTGTTTTCACATTGTGCAGTTTAAGTATATGTAGTGTTCTTGCTTTTTTAAAAAGTTTATTTTTTTCAAATCTGTTTTACTTCAAAGAGAAAAAAAAAACAATTTCATAACACATCAATCAGGGGGCAACAATGGCACATACATTGTGAATTGTCATCCCCAAATCATTCACTCAGAGTACAAGACATCTACCTTCAATTGTCTGAGCAACAGCAGCACAAATCTGTCTTTTCAGCAAACTCAGAGATCAGTAGTATAACTATCTTAACTATTTTTATTACACATATATATGTACACACATATACATACGTTGTTTCTTTCAGCTTCTCACACTAGTGAGTGTACTTCCTTTATAAATTATATTTTCTGTCAAACTAGTGTTAAAATTTTCTTTCTGCCACTTTTGTGACTTTGATCATCAACTTATGAATTTCAGTAATATTAAGACCTCTTTATAGGTCTTTTCATCTCATTGTGTAGGTAAATAATGTACATGAACATATGTATCTTCTGCTAATGTTGAATGAGATATCTGATTTTAATGATCTGTTTCTTTGGTTGTAAAATAAGTCAGAATATTTCTTACTTGGTTTATTGGGCAGTTAATGCTTTTTTCTTTCTTTGAGAGAGGATCTTGCTATGTAGTTCAGGCTGCCTTTAGTTCACTATGTAGCCCAGGCTGGCCGTGAACTCTCAGCAATCCTGCCTTGGCCTCCTGACTGCTGGGATTACAGATGTGCACCACCAGACCTAGCTTAAAGTTATTTTTACAAGAAATGTGAAAGCATTTTCTTAAAAGATCTGAGGATAAACAGATAATTTATGTATAAATTGATGTATTCTGTAACTATCATTCAAGGGCTAATTGACTATGCCTCTTTAATTTGATTATATGATGACTTGAAGAACTTATATCTAGTTACAACTTGTGTGGGTTAGTCATAACTTCAAGATTTTATGAGTCCTTTTATTTCTTCCTTTGATAGCTTCAGTGCGATTTCTCTTGATGCTATTATATAATTTATTTAGTACTTATTACTCAATGAAAAGATAAGTAAGTGTAGAGTTACTGTTACTTGAAATACGATTTATAAAACTTAGGGAAAGTTTTATACACCTTTACTTTTTTTTGGTCTTTTTGAGAGAGGATCTCATTTGGTGTCAGGAATGGAACTCAGGAACTTGTGCTTGCCAGGCAGGTGCTATATTGCTAAGCCATATCCCTGGCCTCTTTTTAAATGTTTCATATGTATTGTATATATGACTGAATTGAAGAGAGTAAGAAAACTGAATCAGAAGTTATAAACCCTAATTTTAAACCTTTCTGATTGCAGATCACTTGATGCGATTGGATGCTTTGTACTTCAGTGCCTTCACCTGTAGTGTTTATTTACATAAATCTAGAAAGTTTCTTTCTAAACTTAAATACGATTTCTAACATAGTCCCTACTCCATTAAACTTTGATGAATCCCAGTACATACATCTTCTATAAAGGTGTTTATATTTAAGGGTACATTTTTGTGTTTGAAAGTTTTGTTGTTAAATGATTCTGTTATCAGGTAGCTTGTTCTAAAAAGCGGCTCACCAACTAAACATGATTGGGTTTGAGGCTGCCTGCCTATCCTTTTGGAGTTGGAGTCTAGGTTCCTCTTGTCTTGAATAAAGAATTGAACCAAATGGACAAAAAGCAGTGACAAAGCTTATTCAGGAAAGTAAAAGTGAAGAGTGGGAGAGGAGCTGGCTTGGTGGAGTGACCTTGGGCTGAGGAAGGAAGAGCAAAGATAAAAATATGTACTGATTCTTGGACACACAGTGTAGGTGTAGAAAATTACCAAAACCCCTGGCTCCACGTGGCTTTCTTTCTTTTAGATTGTTTTAAGTTGCAAGGAAACCAGGGATAACTTCTACATAGCAGTCTGGAAAGATGGTGCTGCCATCCCTGCCTCTGTCTGCTGTGTGCTATGGAAAACCTGCGAGTTCTCAGAAGCCCCATGCAGGGTGTTGGGAACTGTTCTGCGCATGTGTCCTGGATCTTGTAATTAACTGGTCATACCTACTTCCCCAGCCAGTTTTTGCCACACCTTAATCACCTATCTCAGTATGTTTACATAGGAGAAATAATTTTAACCTGAAGGGAAGGATCTCTCCTGGGATAAAATCATTTCCTTATATCTCTGGGAAGGACTTGAAATAGAAACCTTTAGATGGCCTGGGAGCTTTCCTCATGGTTTACTTGCTAGGACCCCATCCTGGATTGTTGGTTAAACCTGTGTGCTCTTAGTATACATCCAGTCACCAAATCCAGTGATTTCCTGGTATCACCCTGAGAGATCTATTTCTTTGCACATCCACTGCCCTAGCACATCCACATTCAGTTTCAAACCAGAAATAGGGGTTTTGTGGATCACTGTCTTTCATGTTCTTAATGACTTGGGTTTTTTTTTTGTAAGATCATAAATATTAAAACATAAGTTATCTTAACCCAAATGTCCTATAGATGAAAGGGACAGAATTGAGGGGAGAAACTAAGTAAAATTGTTATAAAAAGTGATAATTAAATTGAACAGAGGTGCAGACTCTGGAGCCAGAAGCCTGAGATTAAATATAAGATCCTAATTATATTTAATGTTACATAATGTCTGCTCTTCTAGAGAATGGAGGGATAGTAAAGATTTTACCTTTGTTAGTAGGTGTTCTTACAACTTTATTTGAAATGTAAATTAAATTTATTCACTCTTATTCAGATATTTTTGTTGTGTATGAGTTTTTTTATTTGTTTTATTTTGGTGTGTTTTCTTGATACTAGGGATTGAACTCAAAGCCTTAGCATTGAACTGTGTCCTTGGACATTTTTGTTTTTATTTTGAGACAAGGCCTTGGTATAAGTTACTAAATTGCCCAGAGTGGGCTCAAATTTGCAATCCTCCTGCCTCTTCTTCCTTGAGTGCTGGGATTATATATGTATACTACTACACCCAGTTCTGTAATTATTTTGTATGTATCCAAAAGGTAGTACTGGGGAAAAAAGGCCTTTTTTTCCTTTCATTTTTTTCTGTAGGTTTTGTTTTGTTTTGTTTTGTTTTGTTTTGAGACAGAATCTCTCTGTGTAGTTGAACCTGGCCTCAAACTGGCTGTGATCCTCAACTTTGGGGAGCCTCCCAAGTACTGGGATTAAAGGTGTGTGCCACCACACCTGGCACAGTTAATAGTTCTAAGAGACATTTTAGTACCATATGGTTTTTCTGGAACATTTTTATAGACCTGCTCAAATTTGAAGTTGGCCCCTCAGAAGCCCAGTTTTCATATTATGGGCTAAAAAGTTTTCAGCGCAATGAAAGAGACAGTAATATAAAGTAAAAAGTAGCCTTTATTCCAAGGACGCAGAGAGAAGTCCATGACCACTGGCGGCCTGGCTTTCTCTGCCGGAACATGGAGCATGGAATATATATACACCTTCTGACCTGGGTGGCACCTAGGGCGGGCATTGACAACTCCCGACTCCCGAGGAGCTGACTGCAATTCTCTGTGCGCACAAACAGGAAGGGGAGTTGTAATTAAGGCTGAGGAAGAAGCAGGAAGCAGGAAGTAGGCATTCCTGCTTTGGCCTTCGCCACGTTAGACCACCGCCATAACCCTCGCCATAACCCTTTCATGGGCCGCTGCTTGTCTTTTTTTTAAAGAGAATTGAATCTCCTTGTAACAAGTTTCAAGCTGTGTTATATCAAATTTTCACTGTATAAAACTAGCATGACTTTAGGTAAATATTTTCCTAAACACTAATGGAAGTTAACCTGTGAATTTTTAGCACAGCTTTAAGATAATTGAAGATATAATTCAACATGCACACAATTCATTCATTTAAGGTGTACATACTTTGATTGTTTTTAATATATTCACAGTTATGCAACCATCAACACAGTCGCTTTTTAATGTTCTGTCACCCCCAAAAGAAACCCCATACCTGTTAGCAATCATTTCTCATTTTCTTTGAGCCATCCCAGCCATAGGCAGTTCTACTAGTCTGTCTGTCTTTGTCTTCCTTCCTTTCTAGATTTCACTATTCTGGACATTTCTCTTACTTAATGTAATTTTTCATGTTTCACTTCTGTTGCAGCAAATGTCAATACTTCATTCCTTTATAATCACCAGATTATATGCTGTCGTATGGCTGTGCCATGCCTCATTTAGTATGGACTGTTTTTACTTTTCACTGTTGCAGATAACACTTAATGAACATTTGTGTGCAAGTTTGTGTGTGTGTGCAAGTTTTTAATGAATTTATGTTTTTATTTCTCTTGGTTGTATGTTGCTAGGAATAGAATTGCTAAATCATATGGTAACTTTGTGTCCACTTTTTTAGGACCTCCCAAAATGTTTTCCAAAGTTAAGACAGTTATATAGTTGTTTTGGGTTTTTGAGACAGGGTTTTACTGTGTAGTTCAGGCAGGCCTTCAACTCATGGTGATGGTCTTGTCTCAGACTCCTGAGTGCTGGGATAACACGTGTATTAACCATTGCCAGCTCTATTGTCAAATACTTGAAAGTTTTAATTTCTCTTCACTTTGTCGGCATTTGTTAATATCTTGCTCAATTATAACCCTATTTTTTTTTGGAGGTATAACTCACATGCCATAAAATTCAACTTTTAAAAGTGTACAATTTCCTGCCTTGCAAGCAGGCAGTCGTGAGTTCGATCCCTGGTACCGATAAAA